TGGAGAGGAGGAGGAGAAGTTGCACCTGGATGTGGCAGAAGTCTCTCTGAACTCTGTAGTGGGATTCACTCCGAGTCACACTATGAAAGTGAAAGGAGAGATAGCTGACCGTGAGGTGGTTGTGCTAATTGATAGTGGGGCTACCCACAATTTCATTTCCACTCAGGTCGTCAACCAACTGGGAGTGAAATTGGTGGACACCGGTTGTTATGGGGTGATGATGGGTACAGGGAAGGTGGAGAAAGGCCAGGGGATCTGTAGAGGAGTGGTGTTGACCATCCAGGAAATTCAAGTAAAGGAGGACTTTCTCCCACTAGAGTTAGGAAGCACTGATGTCATCCTGGGGATGAAGTGGTTGCAAACCTTGGGGGAAACCAAGGACAATTGGGGAGCACTCACGATGAAATTAATGGTGGACGGGAGAAGGGTGGTCATAAGGGGAGATGCAGGGCTATCCAAAGCCATCACATCACTTAAGACCATGGTTAGGGACGTACAAGAGGTGGGGGAAGATTATCTGGTGGGACTACACAGGCTGGATGCGATCAGATTGGAAGAGGGAGGGGAGGTTCCTCCTTCCGTGCCGCCCTTGGTTCAGCAATACAATAAGGATTTTCAGTCTCCTCAAGGATGGTCACCTCCACTGGAACACGAGCATATCTCCACCTTGAGGACAAGGTGGATTTTTGGGAGGGGAGTATTGTTAGACCGGTCCACTGGACCGGTCCAGCCGGTCCGCACAGGACCGGCAAGTCGCAAAGAGCGACAGATCTCCGCCTCCTGCGTAGATCGATTGGCCCGACCAGCCCATTAGAGCATTTTAGGAAGCCTTTTTTAGCGGTTTGAGAGGGAAATTTGAACATAGGGACTGTTTAGGGAATTCCTTTTGATTTGTATGCATTAAATAATTGATTTGGCTAGGGTTTGAGTATCTTGAATTTGGCTGAAATTTGAGATCTCTTAGGTTTTCTTTGGGCTCTAGCGGCGTCTAGAGATTTGGGAGAGATCGATCCTCCTCTCGAATTGAGGATCAATTGTATCTTTGCTGTTTTCTTCTTCTACTAGTAAAATACAAGTTTTTCCTACGAATTTCTCTCAGTTTTCTACAGTTTTTCCGCTGTTTTTACTGTTTTCCTTCTCCGGACAGCAGTATTTCGTGGAGTTTTGCTGTAAAGGTGAATAGGAAATACTTGATTTCAAGTGTTTCCTATCAGTTTGTTCCATTTTAACTTTTTCTTTACCTATACTTATCAGGCGGAGGAGAGACATGTTGAGATACTTGGCTATCTCCTATATGTTGCCAAACTTGTGGCCAAGCAGGAAGGCCTCGATGATGGATTTAGGACTGTCATCAATGATGGACCTAATGGATGTCTGTATTATTTCCTTTTATGTATGTCTAGGCCTCGTTTATTTTCTGTCAATTGATGTTGTTCATCACCTTGTTCTTAATATTATGTGCAGGTCAATCAGTTTACCATCTTCACATTCATCTTCTGGGTGGAAGACAAATGAATTGGCCGCCAGGCTGATTGATCCAACCATGCAGCTGCCTACTACTTTGTTAAGGATTCGTTTGGGACGGTTTTTTTATTGCTTCTTAAAGCAGCTTTTTAATATAAATTTTTTATTTTTATATTAAAAAGCTGTTTTAAGAAGCAGTAAAAAAGCCGTTACAAACGAAGCTCAACTCAGAAATAAGTTGCTTGCTGAGTGTCTTTTTTATATTCATGTGGCAATTCATGTGCCCACTATATATGGTAACAGAAAACTAAGTTCCCCTCCTCTCTGTCATGAACTTCTTGGAACTGGCAACATGTCCTCTTCTTTACAATAAATTCTACTATCTTCCTTTTAATGGAAATGCTGTTTTGACATTTTATTTTTCATGTTATGCAACATATATATTTAGTAGATGGCCTCTTAATATGCTACGCTTTGTTGACAGTTTTTTTTTCATGCTATGTAACAAAAATGTCTTTCAGTTAATCTTTAGAAGTTCTTCCTTTTACAATTCACTTTTAAGGAATTGAGAAATTATTTACTAGAGCTGAAAGGTGATAGAAATTACACATTACTCATCTTATGGTTGTCCTGTAATAAAGTGAATGGTCATCTTAATATTATGAAAGTGGTCCTCAAACGATATGCGTGCAACACCTGTATATTCCTAGAAGCAGGAGTGTTACTGCATGTCTATGACGTGTGCCTTCATTTTACAGCGACTAGAGGAGCCTAATAAAGTGTACATATACTAGAGCTTTTAATGTGATATTTTGTGCGATTTTCTGTGTCTGAGAATCATGAATGAGGCTTTTGTGTGTGCTGTGGCTGATTGAATGCTGGTTTGTGCTTCAGTGACCAGCTTACAGTGAATGTAATTGTCTTTGATTAAAATATATAAAGTAATATCATGCTGGCAAAGTATATATATATAAATAAGTGCGCCGTCAGAAAAGCGCTGGGTTATGTCGTTTTTTATGATACAAAGATGTTGACAATCCATTAAATTGTTAGTGATTTTCTTTTTAAATAAAGAAATATCATGTTGCTCATTGATGGAGGGATAAAATTTAATTATCTTATGTGATTTCACTTAATTTATAAGTTGTTAACATAGTATATTTTGTGCTGTGGATTGTGCGGGGTGGGTATTGTAGCATTTCTATCTTTTTTTTATCATCGAATTTTTTATCAATGTGAGTTAAGTGTTGCAGAGATGAGGATGCTTAGGTAGTGTTGCAGAGATGAGGATGCTTAGGTGGATGAGCGGCTTTACTCTTAAAGATAGGATACGAAATGAGCATATACGTGAAAAGGTTGGAGTAGCTCCAATGGACGATAAGATTAGAGAGAGTCGTCTTAGATGGTTTGGTCACATTAAACGGAGGCCTTCCAATGACCCGGTTAGGAAAGTTAAGGTATTAGATTTGACTTATGTTAAGAAATGTAGAGGTAGATCTAAAAATACTTGGTTAGAAAATATTAGAAATAATCTTTTTTTTATTAGATTTAAATGAGAATTCGACTTTTAACATGACACAATGGCGAAAAATGATTCATGTAGCTGACCCCATGTAGTGGAGAAAGACCTGATGTTGTTGTTGTGTAATATGTTATTTGGGATAATCTACATTGTGGTCTTTGAGCGAACTGTGCTTGGAGCAATTTTGTTCCTTCATTTCAGTCAGGCTACTGTTATTTCTTCGTTATTTCTATCTTTTGTTTTGGCAGGTTGAGCTTTGAGAATGGTTGTAGGTTTTTATTTTCAATCACTAAGCCACGGTTGTTCTTTGTGTTAATACAATTCAGGGCAGTATCCCATACCCTCCATTCTGTTGAGCTTTCCTTCTTTATTTCATTAACCGCCGAATTCATTTTCTATTTTCAGTGCTTTTCAATAGCCTTGCAGAGATCCACATTCAGATATTACACCATTTACAGGTTACGCCGTGGCCAATGCTTATTACCTGGATTTTAAATCTCCTTTTGTTTTTTTATCCCGAGCAGGCTAAGGCCACGAGCTGCAATCGTGCATTAAATCTCATACCCCACATGGATTTATTGGTCGTTTTCTTCTTCACAGGCTGCGCTAAGTCTTCTGAAATAAATCTCCCATTTTCGAGGCCAAGTTTAATGCAGACGGCTCCATCCCAACCACCTTGTAAATTAAAATTCAGTGTAAGTTGTTCTCAGTGTATCTATCTGTTTTCCTTTTTTTTTTCTTTAGTTCATTACCATATTTGTTAATCAGTGGGGCAATGATTTATACTTGATGGACCAAGCCATTTTATTCTTAGTAAATACCTACCATTCAATTTCATCAGTAACTTCTATGCGCATTTTAAGAAATTTTACTGTAATTGAATCCTGAACTGCTTCGAATGTGACAAATACTTGCCATATGCGAAGCTCACGTAGTTTTTTTTTTCTTTGTTCAGGTACAGCATTAAGTGAGGTCCCAGGGTATTACCACCCAAATCAATTCTTTTCAACACACAAAATGGTAAGTCTCTGTATGATCTGAAATATATTTGAATATTAGATCTGCTTGACGTTTCCGTATCACCAAAAGCCAGTCTTTTTTCTTGTTGATTTTTTCTAATGCCAACTAGTTCATGGACTGTTCTTCAGGATTGTAGATCTTTATGATTTTTTTTTTTGCTTTTCAGCAAGTTGTAGATATTTATTAGATCAGTTGTGACTGTTCTTCAAGTTTATCCCGTACATGACTTGGAGTTGTCCTTTCAAAACAATATAATATGTGTAGTAATCTCTATCTTACAGTTGCCAACTAGCACAATTTAAATCTCTTTCAGTCAGCACTCATAGATTGACTTAGCCCCTCCTCGTCATAAAACCCTCTGAATGGCTTTTCGCATTTTGGAAAAGTACCATAGGTTATGTCAGTCTTTTAAAGCAAGATTTTTCTTAAAAAACTGTCAAACAATTGTTCTTTTCTATTTTTGGAAACATTTAGGTCAATTAAGACAAATTCACGTACGCATCGATACACAAAGACTCGAACCCAAGACCTCTTAATTGGTAGTCTAAGCTCTCATGCAACAGGCCAAGATGAGCTGTGTAATAATTCTTTTCTTACAAATCCCATTTTCAACCTCATTATTGATTAAAATTAATATTTGTTAAATCTCATCATTCAAACGATTTAACGAATTGAGATTTTTTTTAATAAATCTTAAATCCTTAAATGAACTAAATATCTAAAATCCTGTATTAATTTTCTAAATAATTTAATAGAATTTAACAGAATTTAATAATTATTTTGTCAAATATCTTTCAGCATTTACATTTTACCATACCCAATGCTTATAAAATCCTAATTCCTAGATTTACAAAATTTACTAAATCCTTCAAAAGTAAAATCCTTCTTTTACAAAAACAGCCCCTTAGGTTTTTAACGCGCAGCAAATTCTAACCCTTGAAGGTTTCTTAAAACTATAAAGTCTGCTAGTCACGTCTTCTTATCTACTCTCTCTCTCTCTCTCTCTCGATGACAAATATAAAATTGCTGCCATCTCCAGTGATCTCCATGCTCCTCCTACCTTGCTTCACAACCCTCTTCTTCCTCATCAAACCTCTTTTAAAAATCCTTCTTACCCAGGAAACAATGTCCCTCACATGGCCATTGAACTTCGACTCCATCGATCGCTATCTCAGCGTTTTTGATCAAGACTTGTCCATCTTAGATACAGATGTCGGAATCTCTAAGTACAGACAAACACCAGGGGAACAACTGAAGTGTGTTTTCTGTCTCTCAGATATCAGCGAAGGAGAGGAGATCCGAAAACTAAGGTGCGGCCATATTTTTCACCGGATTTGCTTAGACAAATGGCTCAAGTATCAGAGGGTCAGTTGCCCTCTATGTCGCTCTTCTTTGGCTTCATTAGAGGTGAAGGAGAAGCTTGATGAGGCATGGGAGGAAGAGCCTGAGGATTCTGGTCCTCCTCTACTGGCTTTTGTTCAAAGTGAATGGTGGGGGAGATGTATATATTCTCTTGGTTGAAAGAGGATTTGTAGGTGGTTTGCCTCTGTAGCTAGCTTAGAATCACAGCTGGAAGAAAGATTATTGTTGCAATAACTGTTAGTTAGTCTTCTCTTTTTCTTCATTTGCCTGAACTGCTGGTTTGATAGCTTATGATCCTTTTTCATGTACATAAATAAAAATTGGACACTTCTCCTTTCTTTTTTCCTCCTTCAATCTCTCCCTTCTTCTTTGTCTGCCGTATCCAAGTACTTTAGGTTACTCACACTCATTTCTTGGGGAAATTATTAGGTTCGGACATCGGACGACGTCCAGAACCCAATGAAAATACGTCACATCACCCTCTACTCGGTACTGAGCTTAGTATAAGCTCGGTACTGTGCTTCATAGTACCGTGTTTAGTATTACTCGGTACTGTGAAGTATCACAGCACCGAAGGGTAAGCTGTGTCCAATGTCCGAACCCAATAATCTCTCCAGTTCTTGACCTACTAGATGGTGCAAAATATTAAAGTTCATAACAGTTTTTTTTTTTAAATTGGGGTATCTATTCGCTGCCACTCCAAAGGGAATGCTTGGTGGCGTAACTAATCTCTTGGTGGAACCTAGCGAGGCCACCCACCGGCATCAGACCCACAATTGCTTTGCCCCACTGAAGAAGTAGGCCGTAGTAGAGGAGATTTGAACCCGGGATGGGGGTTCTCAACTGTGCTCGTCCACCAACCACCCTAAGCCTTGGTGGGTACAGTTTGTTTTTTCATTGTGCGCCAACAAATTTTTTTGAAGGACAAAACTGTGTATTATTATATATTTTTTTGGAGTTTGCAGAAGGCACAGTTTTTTTTCTCTAATCTTTCACACATAGCATGGAGTTATATAATCGACACCTGATATATAAATTTATTTAATCAGTCATATTTTTGGCATGGCTCAATTAAAAGGCATTTATTATTGGGCTTAGAGATTAAATGCAAATGTCTCTATTTGTCTGAGTCTATTGTGGAATTATTTTCTGCTGATGGTCTTAATAATATTTCCTCTACGGAAAGTTCTTCAATTTGGTCTCATTTCTCCCCAAATAAAAGTTTGCTCAATCATCTGAAGGGGGCTGTTTGCTCTTTAAGGTTTCGTTTGGGACGATTTTTTTTACTGCTTTTTAAAGCAGCTTTTTAATATAATTTTTTTTTAAAGTTTTATACTAGAAAACTACTTTAACAAGCAGTAAAAAAGTCGTCCCAAACGAAGCCTAAATTTTGATCACTTATAATTGAAACAATTAAAAACATTGGTGTTTTAAATTGAATGAATAATTGATTTTAAATAAATATTTATATAATATCATATATTGGAGTGGGGTAATAAATTAAATTTTCCATATTAAGATATGGGTATCAATCAAAACAAAAATGTCAACTTGATGGATAACTAACACTATTATTTCATTATTTATTATAGTATGAATATAACTTTGCTTTATTTGTAAGAAGATTAATCACATTGATTCACATAGAGATAAAATATAAGAATTGTATGATCAATAGAAGTTTTTGGTTTTCTATACTTGAGGGGAGAAGTTAAGGAGATATAATATTGGCATTCGAATGATGTTAGTCAGGCAACATGGGTTCGAAAATGACGGTCTGATGATAGGGAATGGACTATAACAGCAGGGTGGCAATGATGAAACAATTGTGCTTGGATGATGATGGTTTGATAATGATAGTTGGTTGTCAATTATAGATAGTTGTGATCGATCATGTCGAAAATTAGATAGAGCTATCGAGTATCTTTCAAATTTCTATTAACTTTCTTCAATATCAAGTCTGGATTTAAGTAAATTCAATTAAAATTTCATATCACTTCATTCGATGGCTCACATCAAATTCTTTGATTATATATCATTTATTTAATAGTTGAGTATATTTAAGACCTTGAAATTAAATGATCTTAGGCTCATTGGTTTCGTCTGATCAAGCCACTTCATCTAACTATATGCTTGTAAGATTTGAAGACCGTTTAATCTTTCAATTATAATATCCTGAAGCCTCTAACCGTACTTCATATGCTTGATTTAGACTCATTTTAACTCTAATCATACCACCTTTGATGTCATTCAGTTTGTCTTATTTGGACCTTTAGTTCGACTATAAAATTATTGAAATTAAAATAGAAATATTCTTAAATTTAATTGTAAAACTTTTATGTTCAAATATTACTTTGAGAGAGTTTTAGCTCATTAGCCTTAATTTTTGCAATTATTGTTTTCTTGCCTTATCTATTTAGCAATAGAGTTGAATAAGTCAGAAAACAAATCATAATTATGAATATATTAAGATTAAGACACTTCAATAAATTTGAACTTCATTTATTAATATAGCAAAATTAAATCCTCTTGGATTAATTCCAATAAAGTGATGAGCCGTTTGGCATCACCATCAGAACTCTAATTCCATCAACATCAAATCATTTATATTATCTGAATGCTTCTTAACATTTAAATAATAATGCCACCCATCAAAATTTTAAATCTTTATTTGTAATTAAGATTTCGTTTGAGACAGCTTTTTACTGCTTTTTAAAATAGCTTTTTAGCAGAAAATTAAAAATTTTGTACTAAAAAATTGCTTTAAAAAATAGTAAGAAAGCTGTCTCAAACAAAGCATGCTAAAGAAAGCATGTTGATGGTGAATCATTTTATGGAGGAATCACTATAATTAATATTTTTTTTTTAAGTTTCTTAAAATGATGATTTTATTTTACTTTCAAGATAAATAAAAATAAAATCATCACACCACTTTATATCATGTTATTTATATATCTAACACATAATCTTAATTTTTCATGTCTATAGAATAAATATGGTTGCAAGAAATGAAATATTAAAGTTTATAGACGGGTATGGGGGGTAGGAATGAAATATATATAAGAGTAACATATTTGATATTAAAGTTGTCTATGAGTGATAGACATGAAATATTAAAATTGTGTGTCACATATGTAAATAGCATGATATAAAATGGTATGTTTGTAAATCTCCTTTTTCTAATATATATTTTTGATAAATAGCATTTTGGCATTCACAATCGGTTGTGTTAGGGGCATTCATTCTTTGGGTGAAATTATTCTGTGCAGATAGAAATTCCGTCCGGAAGCGAATCAGAACGCACCACGTCACCCGTTTGCAATGTTCCAAGTAATATGGCACGTTCTAATTCACCTCCAGATGATTCGGCGTCCGTACAAAATAATTTCTCCATTCTTTGGATGGTCTAATGCTTTTGCTAAGGCAAACTGGGTGAATAATTTCTCGTTTTTCATGAGGCTAATCTGTTTTTACAGGTGTTTTTTTTTTTGTTTTTTTTTGTATTTTCTCTGTCCAGCTTTTTAGTCCTTCAAATATATATATATATATTTTTTTATTGTAATCACTTTTTTTATCATTGGTAAATTTTTATTGCAGTTTTGGATCCTGCACTATCTCATTGAGTTGTATTTGGGCTAAGTGTTAATTTTATAAAGGAGAGGCTTAACAGTGGAAATTAGCAGAAGAAGCATCAAATTCAAATAATTCAAAAAGATATGAATTTACTAAATTGTTTGGGGCATTCAGAAGGTGTCAAACAGTTCCGTGCTTTCTGAATATCATAGAGACAGACAAAGGATGCGGGAGAGATGGGGAGAGTTTTTAATATTAATATATATATTATTTAAATATTATATGTCAGTTTTTTAATATTATATATTTTAAATATCAGTTTATATTTTATATATTTTAAATATAATTAAACTGATATTTAAAATATATAATACTTAAAAACTGATAGATAACATATAAATATTTTTTTTATATTATAACATATTTTAAATATCAGTTTAAATATTATTTAAAATATAAAACTATACAGCAACAATAACATTGCCTTTATCCCACTATGTGGGGTTGGCTACATGAATCCTTTTTTTCTATTGTGTCATATTAAAAGTCAATTTCTCGTTTAAATCTAATAAATAATAGTCATTCCTAATATTTTCTAACCAAGTCTTTTTAGGTCTACCCCTACCTTTCTTTATTTGTACCATAAGTCAAATCTAATACCTCTACTCTTATAACCGGATCGTCAGAAGGCCGCCGTTTTATGTGACCAAACCATCTAAGGCGACTCGCTCTAATCCTATCTTCTACTGGAGCAACTCCAACCTTTCCACGTATATGCTCATTTCGTATCCTATCTCTAAGGGTAAAGCCACTCATCCACCTGAGCCATCCTCATCTCTGCCACACTTAACTTAGTTTATGCTTCTCTTTTAATAGCAACATCGGCACCATAAAGCATTGCAAGCCTCACTTACCATCTTATAGAATTTCCCTTAAGTTTGAGGGGTACATTCATCTATCACATAACAAGCCCGATGCATTCCTCCACTTCAAACCATCCAACTGAATTCTGCTGATAATATCCCCATCTATTTCACCATCTACTCTGAACAAAAGATCCAGATATCTAAACGTGTACTTTTATTGATGACTTGATCGCCAAAGTCAACATCCCCTCACCGTATGTCTTATTACTACTAAAATTACACTCTATATTCCGTTTTAATCTACTCAAGCGAAAAACCTTTAGACCTAAATATAAAAAGTATAAAATTGTATAAATTACTTTTAAATAATTATATATTTAAACAATAAAATTTGTTTAAAGAATTCACTCCTTTTTAAATTAAATATGAATTCAATGCTACTTGTGCTAATTTTCACTATTAAGATGTAAATTTACTCTGGACTAATGTCCTATTGTATTTTAAAGTCGTAAAAAATCAAAAAACCTTTGTAATTAAAATTAGCAACAGGGTTAGATTGTAAATAGATTTGATGGAAAAAAGAAGATGCACTTCTCTCAATTCTCTTGATGTGATATTTCATAGAAATGGTGGGTCTAAAAAAGTTTAAAAAGGAAGGCTTCAATCTCCCAAACCATTTAAAAATAAACAAGAAAATTGAATCCATTTTAATTAAGTAGCTTTTATCATTTATTTCAAAAACATATTTATTTGCACTTTTGCAATTTTTATTGACATCTAACAAAAGTTACCTAATTTGTAATTGTCATAATTGCATAAGTGATTGTATGACATGCATTTAATAATGTCCATGTGATGTATGTGATTCATGCAAATAAAAAAAAATCATATTCCATATTTATTTGCAAAAAAGTATAAAAATGGATATAATATTTGATGAAACTTCAAATAAATATAAAAGCAAAAAAAATAGAGAAAAAATTGTGCATGATGATAAGTGAATGATGAATGAGTATTGACCAGAATAAAATAGGCAATATTTTCAAATTTTTATATTTTATTTAAATTTTTAAATGTTTTGAAATTTTATTTTTGATTGAATGACAAAAATTATATATTTTTTTAAAAAATTTTGATTGAGGTCAGTGTATATATTAATAGATAAATATGTGAAGAATAGAATGTCTTTTGGTGTGGGATTTTCATATTATGGTGGGCGTCTAAATTGGAAAGTGTTTAAAGCGTCTTATTCCTTATAAAAGAAATTCACAAAGTAATAATAATAAAAAAAACTTAGTTAGGTGGCACAATTATATATATTATTAAAAAAAAAATTTGTGCTTTTCTCCAATTTTATTGGAGAACTTAAATTAAGAAGACCAAATTAATTTTTGATATAATTTTTTTAATGTGGAATTTAGCAACACTCAAATTGAAATGTTGGTATTGATTATGTAAGTTATATGGCATACATTTATTATGATATGCATATGAAGCGATGTTCCTCACTTAATCTTATATGTTGTATTTAGTACAATAAATATTCATCATATTATAGTGGAGGTTAAAGAGAGTGTTAGGCTTATAATTTTAAGAAAAAAATGATAAAAATTTAAATAAGTGATAATAAAAGTAAATTAAAAAAAAAAATTTACTTATATGTATGATATTGTTTTCTATGACAATAAGCTTTAAAATTTCATTAAAATCAAGATACCCTTATACTTGGAGGAAATGCTCTATGAACCCTAACCTTAGAAGGATACTATATATAAGATTAAAAGCTTCCAACACTTCTCAAAACTTATTTTGAACTTGATTTGTTTATCACATGATCGAACACACTTTTGTAGTTTGTTTGTATTTTAGAACCATGATTAAATAATAGTCGATGATGATTTAATTAATATTCAAAAAATTTATTTGTATTTTAGAACCCCACACGCTCCTAGCCACCCACGTCGCCACTGCCTACCAAGCACCTAGTGCTATGGGTGTCAATATTTGACACGAGATGAAAAACCTATCCGATTTCAAAACGAGTCGGGTTCGGGTTCTAGGATTCGACTCGTTTGAAAAGCGGGTCGGTCCGGGTTGACCCGACGGGGTGTCCCGACGGGTTGTCGGGTCAACCTGAAAACCCGTTTAAATTGAAGTACCCGCAGTTGCCCTTACCTGCCAACTGCCGCAAGCGGGCGCGCCCCGCTGTTGCCCGCGCTGACCCGGCCCCCACCTGCCGCTCACGTGCGTTCTCGCGAACCACGTAGTTCGCGCCCGTGTCCGCTCGCATGAGTCCGAGTTCGCACAGCCCACATGTGTCGCGCCGCCCGCTGCCGGCTTTCCCTGCCACCGCAGATGCCTAAATCGTGTTGGGTCGGGTCAATCCGCCAACCCGACGGGTCGGGTCCGGGTTCAATTTCCGACCCGTTTACATACTTGTGTCGGGTTATGGTCGACACGTTTGAACCCGTGTCAATTTCAAGTTCGACTCGAACTCGACCTGTGACCCGAAATTGACACCCCTACCTGGCGCAATAGTTGTTAGCTTTTACTTTGCATTCATTTTAAGTCAAATAAAAAAAATACATACTTTTATTTTACATTCTTCCAAATAGATTTAAGTATTTCAAAGCATTTCTTTCAAAGTAGATTTAATTTTACTCTACATTCTTTTTTATAAAATTAAACAACCCCATTAAAGCTCCTTATCAAATTTGGTGGACCTATTGTCATGTGTTTGAGACATCTAACATAAAAGATATTTGGGTCAAAATATTTTATTAATTAGAATTCTTTTTAAAACTTTTATTTATCTCAAACTAAATTTCATAAAAAATAAATTAATTAAATTTTAATTAAAATATTATCTATCAAATCAATTTAATTTGAGATGTGCAAGAAAGAATCAATTTAAATAAATCGTTAAAATATTTAGGGAATATATATATGTTATTTTAACGTCATAATTACTTTAAAACATTAAAATATATATTTTATTTTAAATAAATTAATATTAGATACTTTTAATATTTTAAATTTTAAATTTTGCATTAAAAAATATACAGATTTTGGTGTTAAAATTTCTTGATACCTATATAAATCTCTTAAAATTTATGATTTTATAGATTTTTATTAATTTTATTATATAAATTCTTATATAATCTATATAAACTTAGATGATTTTACAATATTGTTTAAGGGTGTTGCGTCTTGGAATATTCGCGGAGGTAGAGAAATATATAGTTTAATGTCTTAGCGCTGTACGAAGATCCATCACACAAGCAAATAAGAAAGATGGTGTAGCGTTCATAAGAGGCACCAGAGTTTTTACGTGTAAACCCCTGAAAAGGAAAAAAATCACGGGGCCTGACCCAGTTTGAATGAATCCACTAGTATTTGCAGTCGATTACAAATGAGGCCCTTTCTTGGGAGAAGGCCTTGACTTGATGTCACAAATATACATCGTATAGAGCGCATTACATGATGAGAGTTATAATAATCAACATAGATATGTTTGTCTGACCTGCAGGACCATAGTTGATAGGATAGAGGTCGAAAAGATTGTAATATGCAGGAGATCGAGGTCAGAAAGACTGTTTTTTTGGCGATGGAGGTTGGAAGGACCATAGTAGGTGACAGAGGTCGAAAAGATCATAGTCGGCAGAAGACAGGGGTCCAAAAGATTGTAGTTGACAGGAGATTGGGGTCAAAAAGACCGTAGTAGTAGAGCAGTACTCTGACAGAAGTCCGGGAACCAAGTGGTGGTCCGATAGAATTTTTGGACCTCATATGGTGGTCTGGCATAAGTCTGGGCGTCAGGTGGTGTTCCGATAGAAGTTCAAGCGTGTAAGGTGGTGGTCCGGTAGAAGTCCAGGCTTTTCAAGTGGTGGTTCAGCAAAAGTTCGGGCGTCGGGTGGTGGTCCGACAGAAGTCCGGGCATTAGGTGGTGATCCGATAGAAGTCTGGGCGTTAGGTGGTGGTTTGACAGATGTCCGGGCCTCAAGTGGTGGTCCAGTTGAAGTCCGGGTGTTAGGTGGTGGTCCAGCGAAGGTGAGGGCCCCAAGTGGTGGTTCGACGAAGCTCAAGACCTCAAGCGGTGGTCTGACGGAACTCAGGCGGCGGTCCGGCGGAACTCAAGCGGTGGTCGAGGAGGAGCAAGGAGGCAAGAGTGATCTTCGATCTCTTTATTGAATCCCTTGGGCTTAGGTCCCTCTTTCAAGAGGGAGGAGGGGTCTATTTATAGATTTCCTAGAGTGATATGGTCCGTAAATAGGTGGGAGATCATGGGCATATGGGGAGGGCCTGGATGGATGGGCGATGTTGAATCCCTTGATCATGGACCGTTTTATGGACATTCGAATGTCTTACTAATGTCAGAATTTAGTGATCTTGGGCTCGTTGGATTTGTCTCATCGAGCCGCTCGATGCGAGTATAAGCATGTCATGTGTTGGAAACCGTTTGGTAATCCAAATTGTGGTTCGAACCTCCCAACAATTCTTTTAACTCTTGATTTGGACCCATTTGGGCTCAAATTGGGTTGGATTTGATGTTGTTGGGTTCGTATTCTCGAGACGTTCAGTTCGACTACAAGTTTGCTAAAATCAAAGTTCGGATGATCCCAAATTTAATTTTGGAAGTTTCCAACTTGATTTTGCATTGAGATTCGTGCCCAGTCAAGATAATTTTCTAATGATGTATCAAAGGGGATCCATAAATTTATTTAAACTGTATTATTATTATTATTATTATTTTATTTTATTTTTTATTTTTTTGTTTTTTGAGATGGGTGATTTAGGAGATATTCTCTCCAACGTGAGGAAGTCACTAATTTCTTCTATTTTCTTTCGCAGGAAGAGCTTAATGGCCATGGAGAACCATTTCGGCGTTGGGCTCTTCATCTCCAGAAGATATTACAATCCATTTTTCCACCCTTCTCTTCCTCCGGAAAGATCCCCTTTCCGTCTAAATCGTTATGTTCCCAGTAAATCTATTTACGTCCGCACTCTACCTTCTTCTCTATCAGGTACTCATCAAAATTTTCTGAATGATTTTAAGTGAGATGGTAATTAGGGCTTTTACTCGGATTTTGCCTAATACAGCATGAGTAAGAAAGTTGAAATTTTGGGTTTCATGTGTGGGTATTGTACTCTTTCTTGCTTTAAAGCTTTCATTTTTAGTAGTTGCGGTAAGTGTTAGGTTAAATGCTATTCGCCCACAGGAAAAGAGGTTGCTGGTGAAGATATAATACAATTATTTCTGAAGGAGAGACAAACGAATGGTGATCTTGTGTCGAAGATTTATGACAATTTATGGAGAAAAGACGAGTTAAGATTTGTTGATGGGAAAATTAATGTTGGAGAGGAGCAGATGCACCAAATTGACATGGTATGGACATTTTGGCTGCCTTTATTAGTATGTACTAGCAATAGCTTTGTCTAATGTGCTGTTTGTCAGAGCACATGACATCTTACTCATGAAACTAAGTTGCTGCTCCATATCAGCTGCTCCACCTTCTTACATACAGCTACAGCTAACTAACTAGACACGTGTCTGATGCTTATAAGCTCTTGTTATTATATATACCATTGTTACTGTAGCATTTAGTATGCTTCGATAGAATGAAAAGCGGATCAGTTTTACTCTTGCTTTCCTGTATTCTTCTCTAACTCTTCTACAGGTACAAGAGTCTTCATGGTATCAGAGCTACTGTAGAAGCTGAGTCTTCATCTTCAAATGACTGAACAAGGGTCCTCTTCTCAGGCCTCGCAGACTGCGGCGGCACCTCATACGTCGTCCGTGTCGACGGCCATGGCCGATTTCACTATCCCTTCTCCTCTTAAATTTCTTATGACAAATCTTAAGCTGATTGTTCCAAATCAGCTCACCAGTGACAACTACCCTGTTTGGAGATTGCAGATTTTTCAGTTGTTTTCAGCTAACGGCTTTGATGGCTATCTCACGGGACTAGCTACTAAGCCGGCTGCATCCGTTGCCGAAACCAACCCTGCCGAGTATAAGCTGTGGAACCTGATAAAGCAAAATCTGGTTTCAGCTCTTCTCTCTACGATTTCACCGGCTGTTCTGCCCTATATTCTGAATCTGTCATCCGCTCGAGATATTTGGGCTACCCTAGAACTTCGGCTTCAACCCTCTAACAGATCTAGGGTAATGCAGCTTAAAAATGAACTTTATCATGTTCAAATGAAGGATCTTACAATGATGCAGTATCTTGCTAAGATTAAGGCGTTGGTCGACAATATTGTTTCTGCCGGAGCTAATCTGGATTATGAAGATATCATTTTACACATTCTGAATGGGCTTCCTCCATCTTATAACCCTTTCAAAACTGCAATTAGAACCAGCCAGCTTCCGATTAATCTGGACGTCCTTTACTCACTTCTCTGCAGTGAGGAGATTCATCAACAAAACGAGATTCAACGTGATGTGTCGTTGATTCCAGACAATACTGCGCTCTACTCCAGTCGTTCTTCTACGTCTCGAGGCCGATCTAATTACAGGGGAAACAGAGGTCGTGGAGCAGCGGATATGGAGCAGCAACTTAGTTTCATGAGTAAGATGTCATGTGCTCTGACAACCGACAATAACTGTTCTATTTCTTTCGATTCAAATGGATTTCTCATCACGGATCTACAGGACAATCGCATTCTCATCCGTGGACACAGCCGTAATGGAATCTACTCACTTGTCACTCCATCCATCAACAGCCACAAAGCTCTTCACTCCACTGCATTCAACTCCACCATCTGGCATGCTAGGCTCGGACACCCAAACATTCGAACTCATCAGCATTTAGCTAAATTAGTTACTTCTATATGTACTCCCAATTCTACTTTTGTTTGCAAATCTTGTACTATGGCCAAGAGCCATAAATTACCTTTTCCTTCTTCTAGGTCAAATGTATCTAAACCTTTTATGTTAATACACTCAGATGTTTGGGGTCCAGCTCCTGTTCCTTCTGTCAATGGTTTTCGTTACTATGTACTTTTTATTGATGATTATACTCATTTTACTTGGCTATTTCTAATGCAACACAAATCCGAAACACTACTTAAATTTAAACAATTTTGCAATCTCATAGCCACAAAATTCGACTCCCATATTAAGACGTTTCGTTCGGATGGTGGTGGTGAGTTTACCAGTCATGAATTTCGACAATACCTTCTCTCTAAAGGTATTACACATCAGTTGAGCTGCCCCTACACCCCTGAACAAAACGGTCTTGCCGAACGCAAGCATCGGCATCTCCTTGATACTACTCGAACTCTTCTTTTAGAAGCTTCTCTTCCAAATCATTTCTGGGCCGAAGCTCTTCTCACGTCTGTTTATCTTATTAATCGTCTACCCACAAAAGCTGCCAACCTTAGCATACCCTTCCAGCTTCTATATAATACACCTCCATATTATTCCCATTTAAAAACCTTTGGCTGCCTTTGTTTTTCATGGTTACAACCTCTAGCTTCTAATAAACTTTCACCACGCTCTCAAGAGTGCATTTTCTTAGGATACTCCTCCTCCCATAAAGGCTATCGTTGTTTAAATCTCACTACAAACAAGATTCATATCTCTCGTCACGTTATTTTTCATGAAAATGTGTTTCCTTTTCAATCTAAAACACCTTCTGTCACATCCCCTTTACCAAACTCATTCTCAAATCCACATCTTCTCATACCTGTTTCCACTCTTTCCCCAGCTCCACCAAGCAGTTCTATCTCCACCGTCCCAACTGAACAAGCTGATTCACCATCTGTTTCTACAGCTTCTCAATCCACCTCATCAATTCCTTCTTCCCTGACTCAACCGATCTCTAGTTCCTTCTTACCTCCACAGCCAAATACCACCTCTATACATCCAATGCAAACTCGACTTAAAATGGGTGTTCACCGTCCTAAACAGATCTTTGATCTGTTTACTCAACCCAGCTCCACTCTTCTTCCAACTACCTACAATCAAGCCATTAAATACAAACCTTGGCGAGATGCTATGTCAGAAGAGTTTCTTGCCTTGCAGAAGCAGGGCACTTGGTCTCTTGTTCCGCCGCCTACTCATTCCAATATCCTTGGTTGTCGCTGGGTCTTTAAGACCAAACAATCATCTGATGGACATATTGAGCGATACAAAGCTCGATTGGTAGCTCAAGGTTTCAATCAAGAGTTTGGTATAAACTACAAGGAAACCTTCAGTCCTGTGGCCAAAATTCCCACCATTCGAGTACTTCTTCTAGTGGCACTCCATCGTGGCTGGTCCACTCTACAGTTTGATATATCAAATGCCTTTTTACATGGTGATCTTCATGATGAGATTTATATGAAACAACATCCAGGATTTACTGATACTCAGCATCCTCACTATGTATGCAAGCTCCATAAGGCAATTTATGTTATGGCCTCAAACAGGCTCCAAGAGAATGGTACAACAAGCTAACTTCCTTTCTTCTTACATTCGGCTTTCATTTTAGCAAGGCGGATCCTTCCTTACTTATCTATCTTCAAGATGGGATACAGATCTTTCTACTCATTTATGTAGATGATCTCCTTATCATCGGCAACAAATCGGCTATTATTGAACAACTTCTTCTACAATTGAGGCAACAGTTTTCACTAAAGCAGCTGGGCACAATTTCTACCTTCCTCGGTTTACAGGTTACTAAAACTCATGCTGGCACCTTCTTACATCAGACTAAGTATATGTCTGACTTGATACAAGCTACTGGTTTTCAGAACAGCAAATCTGTTCCGACTCCTATGACATTAAAGCCATCTCAATGCTCCAATGCAGCCGATCCTTACCATGATCCGCATCAATTTCGACAGTTAGCCGGCTCTTTGAACTACCTTACTATTACAAGACCTGATATAGCTTATGCCACAAATCAAATTTGTCAAAATATGCATCATCCTACTGTAGGCGACTACTTGGCGCTTAAAAGAGTCTTGCGGTATATTCAAGGCACGATGGACTATGGACTCCCTCTGCTTCCAGCCTCCTTACAGCTAACCACCTATTCTGATGCAGATTGGGCTGGAGATACATCTGATCGGAAGTCAATCACAGGCTTTTGTACCTTTCTCGGCAAAACACCTATCTCATGGTGTGTAAAGAAACAGCCTACGGTGGCCAAATCTTCTACTGAAGCAGAATATCGGGCTCTCTCTTCGGCTACGACGGACGTCATCTGGCTCCGTCGTCTTCTCTCCGATCTTCTAGTTCCTCAACATGGCCCGACTACTATCTATTGCGACAACATCTCCGCTCTTGCTCTAGCTCACAATCCAGTTTTCCATGCCAGAACCAAGCATATTGAGATCGATTATCACTTTATTCGTCATCACATTGACACCAAAACTGTGCTCGTTTCACACATTAATTCTGTTGATCAACCAGCTGATATCCTCACTAAACCTTTGCCACCAAACAGGTTCACTGATCTTAGACACAAATTGGGCATTTGCTCCTCCAATGCACAATTTGAGGGGGCCTGTCAGAGCACATGACATCTTACTCATGAAACTAAGTTGCTGCTCCATATCAGCTGCTCCACCTTCTTACATACAGCTACAGCTAACTAACTAGACACGTGTCTGATGCTTATAAGCTCTTGTTATTATATATACCATTGTTACTGTAGCATTTAGTATGCTTCGATAGAATGAAAAGCGGATCAGTTTTACTCTTGCTTTCCTGTATTCTTCTCTAACTCTTCTACAGGTACAAGAGTCTTCACTGTTTAGCTACACGTAAGATTTAACCCAAATAGGATTTAGTAAATCATAAAAATCCAGATTTTGGAAATCTTGAGAGGTTGAAAACCTGTAAATTTGACTGGCATGATAACTATTCAATCTTGTTAAATCCTGATAAACATTTTGGCTGTTTGTTTTAGGATTTAAGATTTGTGAGGTGGGAAATCCTTCAATTCTGCAAATGAAGGGACTTAACAAATAATGGAGTTGAAATGGGATTTGTCAAAACAATATGATTTAAAGTCTCCATAATTCTATTTAGCAGGATTTAAGTTAAATCTTGCTTGCATTGATTATTGGGTTGTTCTTTTGTTTTTCTTCTTTGTGTATATAGTTGGAATTAGAAGGTTCTGAATTGGAAGGAAATGGTGGATTTCTAAAACTAACCAAAACCATGGAGTGGATCTCCAGTGAGAACATTGCTCCAATCAACAAGAAATTGGCGACAAAGGTCAGGTTCCCTCCATTTTTGTTATAATTTGATGGTTTTTTATAGTTACATTTCTTGACATACTTCATTGTTTATGGGGTTGTTATTCATGGTTAACGGAATTGCACTTGTATTTGGTGTGAAAGCAGAAGTGGAAGGATGATGGTGAAAAGAGGAAGAAAGTAAACATTCTCAAATATGAAGCTGTATGCCTTCCTCATCTCAGTTTTATTAAAGAACTTTTGTCTTATTAAATTGAAGAAGACCTTTTGTAGTCTTTGGTATCAGTATCTTTTCACGAACTCTTGTTATGCCCAGCATAGCATCATACATTTTCCATAAAAGTAGCCAAAAATGAGATATGCTTAATTATATAATGACTTCACAAAACTACTTTTTATCCCCTTTATTGTCTTGATGCAGCTTAAGGGCGAGTTGTTGCTTTTAACCATAGGAATTGGAGCTGCTTGTGGGGTATATTGTTTAATAAACTTATCCACAGAGGTACTCTAGTTATAATTTTCCTTCTATGCTTTAGATACGGTTAGCCAGTCAGGTCTTGTGAAGCTGCACAACATTTCTTAAATTTGGCCTTTTTAATTGTTAAGAGAGTATAATTAATGTCATGTAACCCACAGCTTGCTGGCTGTAAAAAAAAAAAATATCTCCATGCACATAATCAATTTTGTTGCATACCTGAAAGTTATTATTCATTATAATTGTAAACAAAATATATTTTTTTGGCTAAAGTGTTATGAATTAATTATAGATAATCCAGGATGATCATTGTTGCATACCGGAATATTCATGGCTATAAAGGAAGAGATTTCATCATCGCAGTGAACAAAAAAATTCTGCACACACAAATAATTTGAGATTACCACAAAAGTGACACAATATTTTTTAATGTGGATTGCGGAGAATAGGGCAAAGGGGAAAACCCTATGGAGCATAACTCAATAGAAATGATTCCACTAGTATGAGTCAAGTATTATAAAAGATGCGCTTTCTTATCACTAGAGAAAGCATTAATAAGTTGTAACCGCATGAACTATGGAAAACATTTCTTGTGGTAATGGGAGTCTGGAGGTGTTCGAGTTATCATTAGGCGATGGTGGGTGGGTGGCTTCATAGGTAGGGTATCTGAGGAAGCTAGTGTCAGATGATGATCTTTGGTTGGCTTGAATGACATGGCGGGAACATTGAAAGTTGGAAAATTGCGAGTGGTTGAATTAGTCATTCTCCTGGAGTCCTAGTAGGAGGGAACATTGGGCTACTTGTCAGACGAGTGTTGTATGTCGACGATTGATGATATATGACGTCGGTTGTTGGTAGATTTTAAATGATAGTTGATAGGAATATTAGAAGTAGGGAAATGATGGGTGGTTGACTTGGTTGCTCTTGTGATTAGATGATAGATCGAGTGATTGGGAATTCTGGTGTTCGGTGTTAGTGATTGATAATGTCGGATGCTAGGCAATTATTGACGAGGATAGTCAGAAGCCTGATGATAATGGGCAGCTAGTTTGGTTGATCTGTTAATAGACTGATATTGTTCATCTCATGTCATTGGTTAACAAACATTAGATGCTGCTCGTTTGCAAACATTGAGTGATTATCAGTAAGGAACATTAAAAGTCAAGCATCAATGAACGATTGACTTTATTGCTTTTTTATAAGAGGGGAGAACGGTTGATTGACAAGATGAGCGTCAAACGTTGATGGCTATAGTCGTCATATGTATCTTTTTGGTCGGCATTGGATGATGGTTAATGAGGAACATTGAAGAACGACCAAGCCGATCGCCCATTGTCACCCAAGTTCCGACATTCCAGAGTGGATGTCATTTGACTTCCACCAACGACTTACATCTAACATTGATGTTTAACACGTATCTTCTTGGACTCTCAACTTTCCCTCTATTTGGCGAAAAATCAAGCATAATACCTGTAGACACTAGACACTAGAATTCAAACTTATTCATTGACAGTTGCTCGACTCCTAGAAAAGATCAATAATTGGCATCCGCCAACTGCCGATGTCCAGCACCTTTCTTCTCACCCCGCCCAATCTTGCTTTCGGTAAGAAGAATGACCATGTCTACCCCCTCATCTTTTGACTTTTGACATTTCTCCTCAACTAATTGCTCCTTTGCTAACGACTAAGTTTGATTCTTGTCCGCCCGGTTGCCTAATCTACCCTCAGATGAGGAGAATGACGACATCGATTGTCCACATTTCAACAACTGATTTCCATCAGCCATCCACTTCTAGTATTGCTCGACATCCACCATCAATTGTTTTTAGACACTCATCTCATTCATGACTACCCTGGCACCCAAAAATACTTTTTAATGCTAACACATGAAACATCTTCCGCGGTTCATGTATATTACATTGTATTAAAGGTTTTTTTAGTTATTGGGATTGACACACTTTGTAATCCTTAACTCATGCTAGTGGAACTACTTCGAATGGGCTCAGCCTGGTGTTTTTTAACCCTTATCAATTTTTTCATAATAAAAAATATTGTCTCAAGTAGACTGCTTTCAACTTATTTGTGTATGTGTCGAATCTTTATAAAATATTTAGATGTTAAATTATATCTACTATTATTAAATTTCCAATACAAAGCACCTAATCATGGTCAATGCCCATTGACCATTTATGCTCTTCTTCTAAACAAGATGACTATTAGCTGATTTTAAAGATTGTCTTAGCATGTGTCAAATTAATCATGACCTATTCTTCTGAATCTGACAGGCCGCTATCAGCTATTCTGCTGGTGTTCTCTTGAGGTTAGTGGGAAGATGTTTGTACTATACAGTTTTATGGTAATGTTATGATAGTTATGAAGCATGATATTCCCTTTCATTCAGGCACCAATTACTTCGTGTCCTTGTAGGAGTATATAGTTAACTTTTAAAGAACAATGGAAATTCCATTTTTAGTAATTTTTCTGATTTTCTGTACTAAATATTTCAAAGGATAAGTGGGAGAGAGTGAGTTTTAGGTTGGTGGTTAGAGTCGATATCAGTCTCCTTTTCTATTCAAAGAAATGAAGACAAGATGAGAGGGAAATATGATGGCCCAAGAGAGAGAGAGAGCCTCCACTCTATTTCCGTAAAATGAAAAAGAGGGCGATGTATTGGTATTTCTTGTTTATTACTATTGTCTTACCATATAGAGTAGTAGAAGTCTATAGCGAAATATGTTGAGTCAAATAGAGTGGTGAGATAGGGAGCTTCCATTCCTTTCTACCTGAGAAAAAGGGGGCCACTCATCCACCTGAGCAGCCTTATCTCTGCAACACTCAACTTAATTTTATGCATCTCTTTTAATGACCAATATTATGCGCCATAAAATATTGGAGGTCTCACCATCATCTTATAGAATTTTCCCTTAGGTTTGAGGGGTACTTTTTATTACACAACATACCCGATGTAGTCCTCCACTTCAACAATCCAACTTGAATTCTAATAATAATATCCTCATCTATTTCACCATCACTTTGAACAATTGATTGAGATATCTAAAACATATACTCTTTTTAATAACTTGATCGCCTAAAGTTACACTTCTCCCCCAGACCTATTACTATTAAAATTACACTTTATGCAATCAGTTTTAGATCTACTCTAATGAAAACCTTTAGACTCTAAGGTTGACCTCCATTATTCAAGTTTTTCTTCAACTCCCGCTCTAGTCTTATCAACAAGAAGAATATCATCAACAAAAAAGAATACACCAAGGTACTTCCTCTTGCAAATGTCTTGTAAGAACATCCATGACTAAAACAAAGGATATGGGTTTAAAGTTGATCCTTGATGTAATCCAATTAAAATAAAAAAAAAAAATTAATCAAATCACCTTGTGTTTGTACACAAGTAACAACTCCTGCATGCATATCCTTAATGACTTGAATATAAGCATTATTAATCCCTTTCTTTTCTAGAACTCTCCATAGCACTTCTCTCTGAAGTTTATCATATGCTTTCTCTAAATCAATAAGCATCATATGTAGATCCTCCTTATTCTCTCTATACTTCTCCATCAAACCTCTCAATAAATGTTCATCTTTCATAGTTGACTTACCTGACATGAATCCAAATTGATTTTAAAAACATTAATATCACGTCGTAACCTATGCTCAATAACTCTCCCCTGTAGTTTTAATTTATTCCACATTAAATTAATTCTTCTATAATTTGCACTCTTGTGTATGACCTTTATTCTTAAAAATTGGAACCAACACACTTCACTCGTTTGACATCTTTTTAGCCTTCAAAATAATATTAAAAAAATTGTAAGTAAAAAAATTCTTTCATCTCCTAAGCATTGTCACACCATTATTGGAATATCATCAAGGCCAACAACTTTTTTTCACTTTATTTTCTTTAAAGCCTCTCGAACTTAGGTTTTACTAAAACGATGATAAAACCAAAAATATCTATTTTCATCTATTGCTAGTGTTACTAAAGTCAATCGTATTTTCATAGTCTTCATTGAAAAACTTATCGAAATATCTCATCCATCTATGTTGAATATCCTCTCCTAATAAAAACATTTTTTTTTATTTTCATCTGTAATATTCTTCATTTAAATTAAATCCTTACTTCTCTTGTCTTTTTATTTGGCTAACTTATACGTTTATCTTTCACCTTTCATATTATCTAATTTATTATATACATAATTAAAAGTTAAATTCTTTACATCGCATGTTATTTTTTTAGAATCTTTATGAGCTATATCTTTCCCAATTTTTTGAGCTTTTATATATAAATCAATTTTTATAACAAAACTTCTTATTTTTATTTTTACTTGCACATTTTGATTCCACCACTAATTATTTTTACTATCAGGTGCTTTTCTTTTTGACACTTCAAGTATATACTTTGCAACATTCTTGATTTCACTCCAATAAGAAAATTGTCAAAATTTGAAATTTCACAAGAAATTTTAAAATGAATATGACTACAACTATTAAAATTCACACTAATCAATGGAAACAAATATGTATCAAATTTGACAAGATCTCAATCACGCACATAAACCTATCACAAATCATTTAGATGAAAGAACAAAGGATGCAAGTCGACAATTAAAGATACAAACCTCACTTTGTTACAAGAGAAGCATTTGCCAGAAGTTGTATTCAAGATTGCAAAGTGTTTGAACTTTGAAGAATACACATCTAAAAACACAAAAGTATTGAGAGAAAAATAGGAATTCATCAGACCATTAATTGAATTTTACATGTATAAGGAGTTGAAGGTAAACTTGAATTATGGAGGTCAACCTTAGAGTCTAAAGGTTTTCATTTGAGTATGGAGTGTAATTTTAGTAGTAATAAACCTAGTGAGGGGATTGTGACTTTGGGTGATCAAGTCATTAATAAGAGTACACGTTTTAGATATCTTGGATCTATTATTCAGAGTGATGGTGAAATAGATGGGGATATTATCAACAGAATTCAAGTTGGATGGTTGAAGTGGAGGAATGCATCGGGCTTGTTATGTGATATAAATGTACCCCTCAAACTTAAGGGAAAATTCTATAAGATGGTAGTGAGGCCTGCAATGCTTTATGGTGCCGAATGTTGGCCATTAAAAGAGAAGCATAATGCTAAGTTAAGTGTGGCAGAGATGAGGATGCTCAGGTGGATGAGTGGCTTTACCCTTAGAGATGGGATACGAAATGAGCATATATGTGAAAAGGTTGGAGTAGCTCCAGTAGAAGATAAGATTAGAGAGAGTCGTCTTAGATGGTTTGGTCACATAAAACGGCGGCCTTCTGATGACCCGGTTAGGAGAGTAGAGGTATTAGATTTGACTTATGTTAAGAAAGGTAGGGGTAGACCTAAAAAGTCTTGGTTAGAAAATATTAGGAATGACCTTTCTTTATTAGATTTAAACGAGAATTTGACTTTTAATAGGACACAATGGAGAAATGAATCGAAAAATGATTCATGTAGCCGACCCCACGTAGTGGGATAAAGGCTTGATGTTGTTGTTGTTGTAAGGATCTCCCATTTGTGATAAAAAGATCTAACAACAATAACTTCTTAGAATCCTCTAGGTGCTTGGCTAAAATTGCAGGATTCAATACATTGCACTGAATTCCAACAAGTCAATAAGTTTCTAATTTAGAAATAAGCAAATAAGAAAGTTCATGGCTACAATCAAACATAATAGGGAATCAATAGTATCTACCGGGAACCGTAATGCCAATTTTCATAATAAGTTACATTGTACGTTTGGTATATAAGGAAACAACCTCAAATGCCTACTATAGTTTATATCTTATATGAGAAAGGATCAAAATTGTCCCTTTACTTTTTAGGAATGACCAAAATGGTCTTCAACTAAGTTAAGGGAACATTTTGGTCCCAACAACTATGTTAATATTTAGGCTTCATTTAGGACAACTTTAGATCACTGTTTTTTTTCCTACTTTTAAGATATTTTTTACTAAAAGCAGTTTTACAAAGCAGTGAAAAAGCCATTCCAAATTAAGCCTTAATGGTGTTAAAATAAGGATTTGTTATTTTTTTATTTTAACTATTTATTATATATTATTTTCAAGGAAATATGCAAACAATTAGACTCTCATGAATCTACAAAATATAAAATTTGGATAGTAGCCACAAAATAGAAGAAAAAAAAATTATTTCAACTCAAATGTAACTGCCAACAAAGTTTCTTATCTATATAAATAATTTAAAGAAATCAATAATATGACAAAATAAAATGGCGAACAACATATGCACGCGCACTCACTAGATTAGTTCAACGCTGGGGTTTTGGTTCAGGGGTTCGAAGATCCTGAGGGTTCAAAGCAGGGGTTTGGGTTTGTAGATTTTGAGGGTTCGTAGCAGGGGGTTGAAGTGCGGCGTTGGGGGGGTTCAAAGTTGCTGAGGGTTGCAATCAGGGGGTCGAAGCTGATGGGTGTTTTCGTTGCTGGGGTTTCGACGCGGCGCTGCTCGGTTCGTAGATTTTGATTTCACGTAATTTTTGTTATTCCAAATATAGTCTTTCACCTTCTTTCGGCCATCCCATGCTTATTTTTTCCATTAATTTTTAACAATGGGATCAAAATGATCCCTTAACTTAGTTGTGGACTATTTTGCTTCTTCTTATAGAGTCAATGGACCGTTTTGGTCATTTTCTTTATCCCATACATAAGATTATCACTGTAAAAAAAAAGAACAAGAAGCCATCATGATTTTTGTTATAGTAGAAAGGTGATTAAGAAGGAAATAAGGAGTAATCATAGCTTCTAACCTCTAGAATGTGGTAGAACAATTATCATTGAAGAGAGAATTCAAAGTTTAGTGATAGTACCAAAACAAGAACAGGAACCAGAATCTATAGTATGTGTAAATAGAATATTTAATACATGCTAGAGCTAGGGCTGTCAATATTGGACCTAACACGAAAATTCAACTCAAACTTGACATGAAAAAAAAGTATGTTTATGATAACAAGTCTAAAATTCAAGTTGTGTTCGGGTTAGCTTAAGTTGCTCGAAAAATTGGGTTATGTTTGGGACGTGATGTGTCGGGGGTTAACCCAAAAATAATGACCTAATTGTTTATTCTTTTTTATGAAAACTCATTTAAAATTATATTTATTTAATTTTTTTCTCGGTTATTGTGTCTAAATTGTGTGATTATGTTCATTTTGGGTTGGGTTGACACCAACCAATCTTAACTTAAACATTTTTCATATCAAGTGGTTTGGATTTGATATAGTTGGGTTCAAGTTGAGATTTTGACATGTTTGATAAATGGGTTGATTTATGGTTGACTATATTCGTGTCCGATTATTTTTGGTCGGATTCGAATCCAAACCCATGAACATGAATTAACTTCCTCAGCTATGGTGAATTCTAGTAAAGGAAGAACCGCAAAATGAATGAATCAACAAAAACCGAGCACAACCCAATGACAATAAAGAAAGCTTCAACAATAGTAACAAGGAAAAAAAGTTAATGACAACCACAAGCAGTCAACATTATATCAAATAGTTCAAAATAGTGGTTGAACAATAGCTGAATTTAGAAAAAATAGGAGAAATCGATAATATGTTGAAACAAAGGAATTGGAGTCAACTAAACTAGGCAAACAGGAGCTGAACAAAAGTGACTTCCAATATTGAACTCAAATAGCACATCTTTTTCTCAATAGGGTCACCATCATAGGCATGTTTTACACTGAAATGGATTAGCAAATAAAAAACAAAGATATGTATATAACTTAAATGATATTAACACACGATTTGTGTTTCTAATGAATAAATACTTTCATATTTGCATCAAGAAGTTCAGGTGGTAGCAATATTTTAAAAGTTAATAGAAATTATGGTTTGTACTAATATTTCTCAACTTTTTTGTTGCATGTGTGGATCATTGAAATTGATGATATGCGTGAGCAGTTGCTTGTATCTTCAGCTTCTGTATCATCACATTGATATGCTGTCTAAAGAATCTATTCCAGGAATATTTATTCAGAAGAGAGTAAAGAAGTAAGATTCCCAATTGAAATTTATTATTTCGTATGCTCTATATGAAACAAGCTCCATTTTAAAATAAAAATATCTGCCTGTTGTAGAATTGGGATAAGAAGTGAGGATCTGAAGAATTTGTTGGAGAAAACATTAAATGGTTCCAGCATGGCTCTTTCATCCCCAAGGCTTGTAATACCTACAGCTATTTACGGATTATGGGTTATTTCTCATCAATACCTCAATAACTTTGATTTCCAGGTGAGTATAAGGGGTGCTTTATATTCATAGATTTACTTCTTTTAACTGGCTTTTCTTTAATGCTAGAAATGTAGTTTCTTTGTTTGTGATAAATAGTGTGGGTTAAGCATTTCCTCTTTCATTACAAAACAGCAAAACATGTACAATTTTGTCACAATTTAAATAGCAGAAATCTCTATGAATCACACGTGCTTGCTTTTTTTATTCTTCTCTCTCTCTCTCTCCCCCCCCCCTCTCTCTCTCATCATAAATCTGTTTAATTTAATGTTGAAGCCGACGTAGATTGAAATTTATTTGGCAAGCACAAGGTTTTTTCTTTTCAAAACAATCTTATAAAACTCGCTTCCTAAAAGTCCCATCACTGATGATAAAAATTAAGTTTATAGAATTTATGACACTAGGATATATGGTGTTCTTGGATTGCACCATACAACCTATTTTAATCATGAGTTGAAAAATGGATCCATATAGAAAGCCATCATCATATGTTGGGGAAGTAAAACCACGTAGTGAAATAGGCAAGAAATAGAAAATGCAGCAAAAAAAAAAAAGGATTTAGCATGGAAAAACAAAAAATCTGGAAAAAAATTATGGAGTCACACCACATCAAGAAATTCACTATGAAAATTTGAGAAAAATAGTGCATATCTTGAAAATTATGGAGTCACACCACACCAAGGCTTCTCTTCACCTTTGCACCATTCTCACACTAAAACATATGAAGAGAAAGTACAAAACTACAAAGAGATGCAACCCTTGATGAAAAAACTAGAAAGAAAACTGCCAACCCATCTCATAGCGCTGCGACGTGCAATTCTTTGTTTCCAGTTTACTCCTGAACCTCAACGGGGGGGGAGAACTCTCTGCAACCACTCAACGAGCTCAACATATTGAATTGAGGTCTGGGGCAATTGTACAACCCGATTGATCAACACAATCAGATTCCACACAGAACTAACACCCTATGCAGGTCACATTGAACTTAAGCAAATTATGTGGCTCAAACTTTAAATTTGTTGCATCATAGGTTAAGACGTGATACTAATGTTTCTGAAAATCAAACTTTAAATTTGCTGCATCATAGGTTAAAACATTTAAGGCTTCATTTGGGACGACTTTCTTAATTTTTCTTGAAGTAGTTATTTAGTGAAAAAATTGTACTAAAAAGTTGCTTTAAGAAAAAGTAAAAAAGTCATCCCAAATGAAACCCAAAAGAGAAAGAAACTAATGGCCTGACTCGTTGTTTGCTTGCACGCTTGAGGATAGCTCACATTTAAAGAGCCAGAGTACCAGACTAATATGGATTCGTTTGGAATGACTGCTTTATGTAATTTGGTTATGAAAATATTATTATAAAAATAAAATTTTTAAGTTTTTCTAGTTATTATAAATTTGCTCTCTTACAAAAAATAAATAAATAATTTTCTTTGCCCCTATCACATTCTATTTTATTTGGTTCTATAAAGCTCATTTTGAGCATTAAAACTTTCTGAAAAGCTAACAAAAGTGACAATCAATGAAAAATATAATAGCAGCCTGTGATATAAAATTACGAAAAATTGTCTCAAATGCATTGGTGTTTAACATTTCAGTTAAATTAACATATTAGTCATAGTTGTTGATATTCTAAATCAAGATTCTTCCATTAATAGCTCGTTCCAGCAATGCTTGGCTTCTTTGCTTATAAAGCTGCTGCTTTGGTTCAAGTTTACCGGGACAATGAAGACCTCAGAATGATATTCCCAGACAATGAGGAGAACTCCAAAGAGCAGTAGAGGTACGAAGATCTTACTGACAATTTTATTCGTCCATTCAAGTTTTTTTTTAATGCTTCAATCGATATTCATGAGCAGCTTATATAATATGTTTGTAATTGTCAAATGTATGTCTACTTTTCCCTGTAATTGAGACAGTTTTCAAAATTTAATCATCACTTGCGTGAATCCATGTGTCAAAATGTCATGAGTAGAATTCTTAATAACAAATAGAACTACAAAATTATTAATTTAAAGAGATTATCAGATTTTTACTTCTTAAAGGCTCGCACAAAGGAATTTTATTGTTCCTATCAGAATATGGACACTTAACACACAGAACTCTACTTGTCTTCTCTATAGATGATATGGGATTCCTTATCTGCTACTCGACCCAAGCGTCTTCAAATTTTCCGATCTACCTAGTGTTGTTCTTTCTTGAATTTGACTATTTAATAAGCAAGGAGACAGAAAACACTGCTCATGACTACGTCCTCGGGAATGTGATTTGGTGAAGATATCTGTAGGTTTATCTTGAAGAGAATAGGCTGAAGGAAAATGGTAGAGAAAATAACTTCATTAGGGATAAAATAACAATCAATCTGAATATGTTTAATGCATTAGTTTTAGAAGTTGTTTTGGGCAATAGCAATAGCACTATTATTATGACATTGTGGAACTACATTTGGATAATCATAAAGGTGCATAGGCCCTTATACATTCACTTAAATACATATAAAATATAACCAACAAACATCCTATACTTTCTTGTTTTTAGGGTTTATACACGTATTTCAGATACATATATGAATAATATCTAACTTTTTATTAAAATTTATAAAAAAATGTATATAAGACAATATAGGAGGATTTTCAAGATATATTTGTGTATACAATTCAACAACCACAAATCATTAATAATTTATATGTATTATTCTGGAGCAATTTCTATCGATCTTTTTATATCTACTAAATGCCTATAATATTATACAACATATAATACTCGGTGATAAATCCAAGTATATATGTCAATATGACTAGAATAATTTACTCTATAACATATTAAAAATTATGTGGCATAAATTTTCAAAATCACGACATATTTGAGTTTGTTGTATAAAATCTAATAAAATAAAACATCATAATTCACATGAGAGTAAAAAAATTAAAATCCTAAGTAGGATAAAGGTAATCTATCCCACACATGGTTTAAAATTGTGCAATATGAGCCTCGCCTTGAGGCCCGCTTTTGCGCAATTCCAGTAAAAAACACCTCGATGCTTACGCCTCGAGTTTTTTTATGAGGTTTGCGCCTCAACTTGAGGTTTGCGCCTCAACTTGGTTGAGGCCCGCCTTGAGGCTCGTCTCGCCTCACTGGCATGAGGCTTACGCCTCACACTATATATATTAGAACTTACATAAATCTTGAAGTAAATGCACGACATTGGACTCTATAGGAAAGGAGGAAGGGGAGAGAGCAGTTCACCATAATGATGATTCAAATGAAGAACCTCTTAGTGATGACAGTGCTGATGACTTATGAGTTCTTATGTGATATGTCATTTTTATTTATTTTTGGAAATTAGAATTATATGTTAATGAAAAGAATACTGGGATTTGGGAAAGATAGAATTTTGAGTTGAACTATATTTCATGTTGTCTTATTATTAAGATATTTTGATTTCACTTCATATCTTATGCTTTTTTTATGTTTTATATTATTCACTCATTAGTATATAAAAAATTTATCATTTTATATTTACGCAATCTTTTGATTTTGAGACTTATGCCTCGCCTCACGAATGAAAAACGCCTCAATACCCGAATACGCAATTTTAAACATTGATCCCACATATATCAACTTTTTCAACTGGCTCGCTTTGCTACAATAACCCTAAGATCTCCAAAATTTTAATCTCTCTCTCTCTCTCTATATCCGCGGCTTAAGGGAATTGAAAAAGATGCTTTATGAAGATTCTGGAAAGAAGATTTGGCTTTACATAAAAAAATAAATATGATGGTATATTTATAATTTCCTAAATGGTTTAGTTTTAATTATAAAATTCTCGCAATTCTTTTTATAACTTGAAATCTGTACTTTTTAGAACTATGAAAAACTAGTCAATAAATGCTACATTATGTCTAGAACACTAGATAATTATCGAAAATCCTCTTTTGCAGAGATGTGCTAATCCACAAGAAAGATAATTCCAAATATCTTTTTTTTCATACCTACGATGCTCATTAAAATAGGTAGAAATATGCATAAAATAGAGTACAAAATGATTTCCATTATAATGATCATGAGTTGTAAATCAAAAATAAAATGTTCAGGGCAAGAGAATGAGAAGAGTAAGCCTCGAGTTATCTAATAATTTAATATTGATTGCAGATAGAGTTGTCATTAGAGGAGTCCTAAGAGTGACTGTTGCGTTATCTTAGCAAAGAAAAGTTCTTGTATCCCATTGCTTTATGAGAACGAGAAATTTTAGTGACATAAAAATTGTGTACGCATTACGACCATAAAATTATAATAGATTTGATAAAGTTCATGATGATTTGTGAATAAATAAAACCACATAAATTAAGAATAATTATTAATAAAAATAACAAAATATCAAGAATCTCCCCTTGTGAAATGAGTAAGATCCTACACATTAGAGTGAAGAAGATCCAAAGGAGCAGTGGCGCATGAATCGCTATTAGGTAAAGGTAAGGCAAATTTTTTTTTGTTTTGACATTTCACAAAAAAATGTAGTGATTTATGCTATTGTGGATGAATCCAAAGTGACCAGTAAAAATAAAGTAGCAAATAAAATCAAAATAAATATGGCTAAGATGAAAATGCTAAAGATTTAGTGGATTGAAGGCTGTTGTAGCTGCATATTGATATTGTAGTAGGTATAGATTTGTGACTTCAAGATTCTTAAGTGCAAACAAATGACCATCTTTACATCATGTCCCAATAACCTTCCTTATCTCATTATCTTGTGCACAATAATTAAAGAGAAAAGGATCAAAATGGTCTCCCAATCTTTGTGAGGAATCAAAATGGTCCTCAACTCTTTTGAGAGATTAATTTGGTCCATCAATTCCTTAAAAAAAGGTCTTTTTGGTCATAACATCAATTTTTTGGGTTAATAGTATTAAATCAAGGGGTATTTTGATAATTTTTTAATTAAATTATTTATTAAATATAATTTTCAAATAATAGTATTTTTTAATTATTAAATATTTTTTAATAAAATTTTATTAATAATTCCAGTCTATAATGATCCTAAATTAAAACTAGAATTATTAATAGTTTTTTAAATTAAAACTAGAATTATTAATAAATTTTTTTATTAAAGAAATGTTTAATATTTTCTAAAAAATTTACTATTACTTGATAATTATATTTAATAAATAATTTAATTAAAAATGATTAAAATATCCCTTGATTTAACACCATTATCTTCAAAATTTGATGTTAGGACCAAAAATGTCCCTTTTTAAAGACGAGGGACCAAATTGATCCCTCAAAAGAGTTGTAGATCATTTTGGCTACTCATAAAGAGTTGATGGATCATTTTGATCCTTTTCTTAAAGAGAAAATAAAACATCATATCCTAGTTCATATTATTGTCCAATAGAAATAAGTTTGAGGGTAAATTTGAATAGTAAGTATCAAGAAGCAATAAAGTACAGGTAGATATATGGTCAATATTGGTGATAAGGAGAGCAAAGTCATCAATACTGTGTTTTAATGGAGCAAAAAAGAAATTGCTTTATTGAGCCAATATATGAATAAAAAGTCTTTCAATTACTACAAGCGGAATCAAAAGAGCAAATAAAAGTACCTGAGCTGATGGAGAGATAAGTACCAGTTTAAGTTTCGTATTGATTAGAGAGGGCATATAAAATCTTATAAAAGACTAACCATAGGGATGAAGAAGACTCAATGGCAGACTAATCGTAGGTCTTGATATTAAATGAATTATGAGACTTAAAAGCACTTATCAGAGGAAGCTCTATTCCCATAAAATTGTGTACTAAGGATCTTGGAGCATTCATGGTTGTGATATCCAGGGAAATTTTGAAGTAGAAGGTATGCTTACGAATAAACCAATCCCAAAGAATATGACCAGAGACACAAATGAGTGAGATGGCTAACATCATAGGTCAAGACGAGATTGATTTATTCGTATCCTTGAAATAGAGATGGTGATCTTCTTGGTTGCAACAGGGACAAAGAATTAGAACTTCATTCAGTGGGTTTCAGTGGATTGGTAAGATCTCAACTTGACCTACCATCCTAATGCTCTCATTTCATGATAGATAGATAGAGAATTAGAGATAACTTAGGCTTCGTTTGGGACGACTTTCCTAGTGCTTCTTAAAGCAGCTTTCTAATATAAAAATTTAAAATTTTGTATTAAAAAGTTGCTTTAAGAAACAATAAAAAAGCCATTCCAAACGAAGACTTAATCTTTATTTCTTGTCTTTGAATGATATACAAGGCCCATATATAAACAAAGAAGTGAGCAAAGAAAATTCATATATACATATATAAAAGTAATTAGAAATACTATTTTAGTCAATAGCACATTGGGTGAACATCACAAAACAAACGAATACTCATGCAAAACAGCCTTAACCTGAATCAGCAAAATAACATTTTACATGTAACCATATCACAAAGTTTGCTAATAATAGTAGAAGAGAGACAGCATTTTATGCTTTAACTGAAAGAACTCAGATGCCTTCCATTATTCTTTTTATTTTGCATTCATTGTATAGTCTTTGTCTTGGTCTTTATAAACAGGTGATGACAGTATTACAGTTCGCTATAAGCTAGAACTATTACTGTTGAAAACTTTCAGTCGCATCCAACTTTATTGATGGAGCTTGGCTAATAATAAAAGAGAAGGCTTATATACATAATAAATTACTATAAATATCTTTTCTGTAGCTGTAAATTCCCTTGCAATAAAGGTTTATGGAGATGGCAAGCAAAGTTCTATAAGAGGACTTACAAATAATAGATACAACATTGACGAGGCAAAAATCCTAGAGCAAAAAAAAAAATTGTAAACCACTAGAGAGTCACTCATGCTCTCTGAATTTGAACTAAAGTGTCAAATAGATTTACATCTGAGCAAAGGCTTAAAAGAAAGAAGCAAAAGCAACAGAACATACAGTCATAAATTAATCTAGAGTCCATAGTTGTAAATATTAAAATAAGTGACATCAAGTGGTTGAAATACAAAATTCAAATGACCATTTTTATAAAGGGGCTGAAATTGATCTGCGGAGCTGCTGCTTTGGTTCTGGTAGAGGGACACAATGTAGCAATGTATCCAACTCCTGCCAACAGCACAAAACGAGGAGCATCCACCTTATAGATTAAAGGTGTAATACAGAATGGAACTGAATAAAACTATACTGACTTCAGATCTTGGACAGGAAATCAACAAAGTTATGATTATGAACATGGAATAGTTCAACAGCAGTAGCTAAATATTTTTTCATTTATGTTTCTCAAAATAGTGAAATATTCTTGTTCCGGAAACATTTTGTCATTACTGGGGTTGGATAAAGGAGCAAATATTTTATGTAGAATGACTATTTGACTGGGTTTCTAGGAGCTGTATTCTAATTTCTTTCTCTAAGAAAAGAAAAAGTGTGATGCTCCTTGCGTCCACAAAGGCAGCATGTTTCATTTGCATTGGACCACACACTTCAGTTTGCAGTCAAGGACTAATCTGGACCGGTCTTGCCGGTCCTGCAAATATACCGAAGGCGGAATAGAGGTTCCGCCCCCGTGGTCGCCGTGCCCCCCTCTACAGCCGTTTCAAACTAATATTTTAATATATTTTGAGAGGGGAATTTCAAAGGGAGGGATGTTTTAGGATTTCCTTTGAATTGTATGTTTTAAGGGGGAATTTTTGGGAGGGTTAAGGCATTGTTTGTTTTGCTGAAATTAGAGTTATCTCATGTTGTTTGGGTCACCGGCTAGAGATTTGGGAGAGCCGGATCCTCCTCTCCAATTGAGAATCCTATTGTCTTGTTTTTATTTTCTTTCAATAAAAGTTGTTTTGTGAGCGTTCTTTCCAATTTCTTGGTTTTGTCCGCTGATTTTGCAATAACCGCATATGTTTCCTATCACAATCTAAGCATGCCATGCCATCAAGATTCACCATCTAGCGGCCAGAATGAGCACTTCCAAAAGTTAAATGAACTTCATTGGAAGCTTATGTCCAATTTGCAAGCAATCTAGGACACATTTCCATCTATTATGCTATAGAATTGAAATAACAAGTTACATATTCCTGGTTTTATGCAAATTCCTTTATTATGATGTGAAAAACTAGCGATGGATGTAATGGGCTTTCCCAAGAGAAGCCTTATGCTTAAAGCCAACCTCTTGTTTTCAGATACCAACCACTGTAGTTAGTTATGAATCTTCTAATCTTTCTTTATATTGAGCAAGTATCCAAACTTGAGTATGAAAACTTAAGGATCAACTATTAGGCTAAGGTCTCTTCTACAGTTATCGCAGTTGTAATCAATTACCAGGCCAAACAAACACTGTAATCTCTGGGTACTACTGAATCGAAATTAACTAAATATTTCTTAATACAGTTAAGCAGATAGAGCAAAACTGAATTTCTCATGTGATCTAATAAATCTTATTTAAAACAATGGGACGCATTACCTTTTCCTTCTTCAGCCTTTCATTCTCTTCTTCTAAGCGCAAGATTATGTTTTCCAGCTCACTTGTGTAAGCCTGTTCATTCCAAGACATATTTCTCCAGTGCTCAAATTTTCACTTGAAGCATCAGTTGAAAAGTGCTTATAGGATATAGAAAAAAACTGACCTGTTTCCGAATTCGTGAACGAGCTGCAGACTCCCTGTTCTTGATCATCCTCTTCTTCCTCCTCTCCAGTGCCTTCTCTGCCATTTCCTCTCCGGCAACTCGCTTCGGCCCATTTGACAAAGGAGATGCATTATTTGCACCTATGCCCGTAGGCAATTTCACTGGCCTTGAAGGCACATAAGACCCCATCATACACTGCTGCGTTTGCTGCTGTAGCCATTGTGACTCTCTTGTACTGTGACTTATCTTACCAGAGCCATCTACCTCAACTCTAGCGTTCACTAGGAAATCTTCTAGTGTCATCTCGCCAAGACTCACTTGTCTTTGTGGCTCTCTATCACCCTTCTTCTGCTGCTGATTCTCTCTCCATTCCTCATCCACCGTGTTCTTGCTAACAAATCTTGATATTTCGAGGTCTTCCAATGCAGATTGGTTCACTTCTTGATGAGGAAATACATTCTCGAGAAGGTTTTCAAGGTTCATGCTTTCTAATGGTTCAGCTAAATTGTTCTGAACTTCATTGAGGTTGGGTGAGACTGCAAAGGGAACTTTGCTTGGCTAAAACTCCAGTTGGGTTTGCTTTCTGCAGCCAGCACTGCCATTTTTCTGAAACCCCATTGTATGAATCTCCATTCCACAGTTTCTCAAACTTGGCTCATGGTCTGCATGCAGAGCTTATAGATTATGGTATAAAATGCAAAAAAGGACGCAACTTTCTTGCATCAAATAAACAACCAACCAATCATGTATACATATAAATATTCCAAGATTCTCTGGCACAGATTTTTATCCTCTCCAATTATCATTGTACCTGCAAACTGTACAGTTTTCTATTTTAGGGGCTGTTTGGCTGTAGATAGTAAAAGTGTTAATTAAAAGAAGGGAATTTTACCTACATATAATTTTATTTCATGCTATTTACATATCTAACACACAAAACATTAATATTACATTCTTATCACTTAAATTTGATGTAAATTAAATACAAAACATTTGCATAAGACATTTAGGGGCTGTTTGGTAGCACCCCGGATTTGATTTAAGTAGGATTTCGTAAATCCTCTAAATCCGTATTTCGGAAATCCCGAGGAGCTTAAATATTGAAAACTGTTTGGTAACATTCATGATAAATCCTCTTAAATCTCATGTGACTGTTTGGCTATAGAGCAAGATTTACCGAGCGGACTCTCCCTCTAGCGCCATGAATTTCATAAATCCTGCAAAATACAGGATTTCGGAAATCCATGATTTAGAGTGAATCAGCGGAATTTTCCGTCTACAGCGGATTTTGTTTGCCATGATATTTGGTTTTGCATTTTAGGCCATTTGGCTGGATTTTGCTCAAATCCGCCTCAAATCTGGCCTAAATCCTGCTACCAAACAGCCCCTCAGAATATCTCATAATATATATATTTTTTAATGAATTTAGAATTCGTCCAAATCTAATAAATTCTTAATGCATTTTAAGAAAAAATCCTTCATACCACATCAGAATAAATGAGCATCAGCATCTGATGAAGACGAACAAAAACCTAGAAAGCTATTAAAGGGGTGCGCACTTTAATGCGCACCACTCCAGGGACCCTCGAAGAGACATCGGGAACAAGATGATGAGGGCTGAAAGTTTTCATCAACACCAACGCACGAATTATCAAATTTTTTCCATATGTAAACCCCATGATAAGTTGATAACCCTTCCTGGAAGAAAAAAAAAACTACAGAATTTTTCAATCTCAATAACTGCAAAAAATGGAATGAAATTTATAGATATTTTTTAGGGATGAAAAATAAGCTAGCACTGAAACAACAAGCTTACAGAATGTTGATTAGACTTCCCAATCACCTGAAGATTTCAGAAAAAAAAAAAACAATAGAAAACTGATGCCAAAATCAAATTTTGGGTGGGAAGAAGCAATGCGACTGTAAGTTGCCTGGAATGGGATGTTTCATGTTCTAGCTTTTCCGTATCTTTTATTTTCCGGACTTCTACTGGTTTTCAGCATAAACGAAACATCTGAAGAAGAAGAAGAAGAAGAACTTCAACTGTCTTTGCTGCTATTTTGTGGATCTCTGCGCGAACTACAGATCAACCATGCTTGTAAAGTCCTAAAATGGCTATTTTGATAAAAGAGAAGATTCTGTCCAGGGCAAATTATTAGGTCCGGTCACCTGGCAAAGAAATACATTCAATTTTTTCTCGATCTACAATAAAGCGCAGTCAAAGCATAGTTACTGTAGCAGTTGCGCTTTGACTATGTTTTGACTATAGACAGAGAGAAATCCGGATGTATCTCTATATCAGATGACTGGATGTAATAATTCGCCTATGTCCAGAGGCATTCGTGTCAAAAGAGAGCTGACTCGTGAGAAAAAGTAACTTTTTTCATGTTACAAAGGATGATTTTGAGCCTAATTTTGACTGCTATTTATGTAAATTTTCATAAGTTAAAATCAAGATTCATTACTCCAAACAAATTTGTCCTTTAATAAAAACTCAAGCCTTTTTTGTCCGGATTATGAGTATATATATTATGTACATATAATATACATATAGTATGTCAAAATTTTGATATATATTATGTACAAATTTATACACATTGTGTACACTCATATATCTGAATAATTTTTGTCAGGATTCCGCACATAATAGATTGAGAATCCGGATGGAAATCATCCGGATATATGAGTTGTAATTTGCCCAAAACCTTAATGAATTTAAAATTAAGTACAAAATTAAAATCAAGTGATGTGATTTTTTAACTATGTGGTGACTGTATCCCCTCTCTATGAACACAATCATATAAATGGACGGCTATGTTGACTACAGATAGGCCATGCGAGGACAAGATTGTGTTCTTCATGCCATTATGAATTTATAATTATTTTTATTTATTTTGATGTGACACATCATTGATGTGGAAAGATAGGCTTGAACATTGGAACTTTTATTTCGTCCGGTGTAAGGATGCAGAGAAACATCCGGTTGTAGGCAAAATCGCGCCTATACCGAGGTGTACCGAGTTTTTTCAAAAAAACTCGGTACACCTCGGTGTAGGCGCGATTTTGCCTACAAGATAAATATTATTCATATAAAATATAAAGAATTAATTGAAATTTTTTGTTTAAAAATAATATATATGTTGTGAGCTTCATAAACTTAACTCATCTAGTCATCTATTTAGTCTCACATCATTTAGAAAATTTTTCTTGCTATTTTTTTATATTGCTTTTTTGGTTTTCATATGTTAAGATCATATGGAGTGATGGAGCTATATGAAGATGTTGCATGGTGTTTTAGCCCAATTTAATGCAGAAGCAGTTTTCACAGTGGACCAAACTAGCCTTATGACCGGTTCATGGTTGAATCGACCTGTCCGATTCATTTTTTAGAACCTTGTAAGAATTTGTGGATGATATAATTTTTAATTATTTTCTTTTTTATTTCCCTCTAGAATATAAAAAAAGACAATTTCTTGTATTTACTTTGTAAAAAATGAAATTTCTTGTATTACAAACATCAACACTTTGTTTGTAAGTTTGAGGCTTGTGTGCATGCCAATATGCCTATTTATGTGGTTATAGTTATAGCACGACTCAATTTTGGCTCAAGATCAGCTTAAAGTAATTCATCGTGATCTCGAGTAAAATTTGGCTCGATTCGATCCGATCATGGCTCATGAACTTTTATTCAAGTTCAATTCAAGCCAAATGTCAATTCGAACACAACTAATTTTCGAACCTCTAAAATAATTTCTTAGTCCAGCATTTAACTTGACTCTCATAAAAATTTTATATTAGAAAGCTGCTTTAAGAAGTAGTAAGAAAGCCGTTCCAAACAAAGCCTAAGTAAAACTTTCATTCATTTGCTTGGCTTGGCTGGCTTAATTTGAGCTCAATCCAAATCACAAATTGAGTCCATTTTCAGGTTATCTTAGATTTTTAAAATAATAGCTTGAAGCCTAAGCATGTTGAGTTCTGATTTGCTTAAGTCATTCGGCTCCATTTTCTGCTCAGTATATTACAACCATAGTCCTTCATATGCTCATGTGGACAAACACGAGTGAAGCACAAATAAGACACTATTTTATAATTTATAGCATAAATAAGTGATTTTAGTTGCAACAAAATAAAAATGTTTCTTTTGGGGCAGTTTTTTTATTTTCTTAAAGCAATTTTATAGTACGAAAATTTAAATTTTTGTACTAAAAAGCTACTTTAAGAAGCAGTAATAAAATCATCCCAAACGAAGCCTAAATCAAAGGAAAAACTATTTTGTGTGGTGTCCAAACGCATCCGGAGGTCAATCTAGACACACCATGTCACCCAATGTACAATGCATTGGATGATGTGACACATCTCGATTGGCCTTCGGACGTGTTCGGACACCACACAGAATATTCTCTCAAATCAAAGTGGCTCAAAAGGATTGTCGGACCTCCTTGTTGTGAGGTGGAGTTCATTTTATTTTAAATGCATGTTCATGATGACTAGCAAAATATGCATGATTTTAAGTCAAAGCATTAGGTTAAGGCTTCGTTTGGGACGGCTTTTTTATTGCTTTCTAAAACGGAGTTTTAGTACAAAAATACCGAAGTATTTTCTAGACATCTTCCATAGATGTGAGGGGTTTATATATATATTCTTAGAACTCTTTTAAATAAATCATAAATAGAAGAACTATTATTGATGAAGATAAATTCAATACTTTAAAGTGGGGATATTGTTTCAATAATTGGAGTTCATCTTATATAGAAAGATATATCTGTCATAAAAAGATGATATAACTAATAGAGAAAAGAATCAAAATGGTCCTTCGAATTTTTAAAAATGAATCAAAATATTTATTAATTCATTAAATTACATTCAATGTATTTGCATAAAAAGGATTTGCTAAAACTATTGAACATGGCAGAGCTATTCCAATAATGTATGTGTGCATTGACTTATAGTAACATGTATTTAAAAGGGTTTGCTAAAATTATTGAAAATGGCATAGTGTGTGTAAGACAAAACTCTCAACTTTCATCTCATTTATTGCATCATGTGAGAAGGGGTCATTGCTTAAATTAAGGCTTCGTTTGGGACGGCTTTTTTATTGCTTTCTAAAACAGAGTTTTAGTACAAATTTTTTTATTTTTATATTAAAACTCCGTTTTAGAAAGCAGTAAAAAAGCTGTCCCAAACAAAGCCTAAATGTAAGTAAGCCATATAGCCATTCAACTCTCATTCACATTTGAAAATATTTAATTCCAAATAATGTTGTAAGCCAAAGGAGTTCTTCTCTTGCAAATGACCAATGATTTTTTATGTGTTATGGTGTACATAAGACTAGGGTTTAAATGACATGGATATAACTATGAAAAAAAATGATGCTAAATTTTCCTCATATTAGGAACTTCAAAAATAATAATCTAGTTGGAAATAGTTTTAGGTGGTGTTGAGTTTGAGGATTCATTTGGGATAGTTTTTTTACTGCTTTGATTTTGAGACTGCTATTATAGTTTCTGTTTGGCTGTAATTTTTTTTATAGATTAAAAAAAAAAGCAAAAATTTGTGCTAGGAATGTGCTTTCTACAAGAGCTTTGAAATAACTACTTTCTCCACAATAATTTTAGAATCACTTCTATAAAAAGTTACAGTTGTCTCAAAGGAACTCTAAGATATAAGGATCCAAGCCTAAATGAGCTAAAATCAAAGGACCAAACCCTACTAAAAAGCTTCATAGTATAATTGGATGACTAAATAATATTTGGATGTGACATTTATAGTTAAATCAAGCGGATCGACGAGATGAATCCAACGAGCCTAAGAATGTCTAATTATGCCATTATTAAGGCACTTAAATGCTTAATAAATGATTCATAATAAAAGAAGATGACATCGGCCGTTCGTTGGAATACTCCCAACTTGCCTTTGATCTTCTTCATATTTACTAGCCATGACACTCCCAAAAACTATAAATATGCTTTCATTCTTCACATGGTGGGCGGAGAAAGAGGAGGAGAAAGAACTAGTGAGCTCTATTGCATTTTCTAGCCATCGTTGTCAATGACCACCACCAACTATGCCATTGACAACCACCATCACCACCTTCGAGCCTCCGTCAACCTTCGTGAAACTTATGCCCGTTCGTTGGTCACTACCAGATTTCTTCTCAACCATCGACCATCGTCGGACTTCCGCCTGTTCGTTGGACATCGTTGGATCTCCAACCGTCACAAGACCTTTTTTGAACAGTCTCCTAACTGTTGTGACCATATTTTTAACATCTGTCATTCATTCATGTGTTGTTGTCATTCATTCAAGCTCAGGAATACACATCCAAAGTTTGGCAAGATCCTTAACATATTGTATTCACATTATTCTCGAGTTGAAGGGTGAGTAACCTTTGTAACATATTCAAACAATAGTGGAACCAATTCAACTAGGCAAGACCTCGTGATTTTCTCTTTTCACGGCTTTCCATACAAAAATTTGGGTATTTCTCTATCATCTTAAGTGTCTGTTTGTGTGCTGAATTTCCGTACATCGCTAAGATATAAAATCTTTCCACTCTATCGCTACAAATTTTTTAGCCTGCAACATACATATTATTAGAATTTAAAAAATCAATAAGAGTGATACGTCATCAAAAAATTATCTTGATCGGGCACGAATTTTGATGCAAAATCAAGTTGAAAACTTCCGAAATTAAAATTGGGACCATCCAAACTCCAATTTCAGCAAACTTATAATCAAAATGAACGTCTCGAGAATACAAATCCAACGACACCAAATCCAACCCAATTCGAGCCCAAATGGGTCCAAATCAAGGGTTAGAAGCATTGTTGGAAGGTTCAAGCCACAATTTGGATTACCAAATGGTTTTCAAACATAACGTGCTTATAGTCGAATCAAGCGGCTCGACGAGACAAATCCAAAGAGCCCAAGGTCACCGAATTCCAACATCATTAAAACATTCAAATATCCATCAAATGGTCCATAACCAAGGGATTCAACATCGGCCGTCCATCCAACCACTCCATTTTCCTTTGATCTCCCACCTATTTATAGGTCATGCTACTCTAACAATCTATAAATAGAGCTTCCTTTCTTCTTGAAAAGGGACCCCGAAGCCAAAGGATTTAAGAGAGCGATCGGAGAACGCTCTTCCCTTCTTGCTCCTCCTCGACCACCGCCTGAGTTCCGCCAGACCACCACCTGACGTCGCTACTCCGTTGGACAACCACTTAAGCCCCTCACCTCTGCTGGATCATCACTTGAGGCCCTGAGCTCCGCTGGACCACTACTTGAGGCCCTCACCTCCGCTGGATCACCACTTAAAGCCATGAGCTCCGTCGGATCACCACTTGAGGCCCTCACCTCCACCGGACCACCACTTGAGGCCCAGAGCTCCGCCGAACCACCACTTAAGGCCCTCACCTCCGCCAGACCTTCACTTAAGGCCCTGAGCTCTGTTGGACCACCACCTGAGGCCCAGACTTCTACTTGATCACCACTTGAGGCCCTCACCTCTGTTAGACCTCCACTTGAGGCCCTCACCTCTGCCAAACCTCCACTTGAGGCTCTGAGCTCCGTTGGACCACCACCTGAGGCCCAAACTTCTGCCTAACCACCACTTGAGGCCCTGAGCTCCATTAGACCACCATTTGAGGCCCTAAGCTCTACCGAACCGTCACCTAAGATCCAAACTTCTACCAAACTAGCACCTGAGTTCTGAAGTTCCACCAAAACACCACCTAAGACCCTAAGTTCTACCATACCACCGCCTGAGGCCCAAAGTTCTATCGGACCGCCACATAACACCCAGAGTAAACCCAGAGTTCTACCAGACCATCACTTGATGCCCGGAGTCTTTCCGGATCACCATCTAATGCCGGACTTCCACCGGACCACCACCCGACGCTAAAGTTCTGTCAAACCAACGCTAGGCTACTAACTAACGCCCAAATTTTCAAGTTGCACTGAACTTCTGCCAATCCACCAAGTGATGTTGTAATTTCATCCCCGTTTATTATTAGATTTCAACCAAACGGTTGACATTTGTAATATGATCGCCCTCAAGGATGAGTTGGGCTATTATAATCTATACAAACACTAGTGGAATCATTTCAGACTGGGCCATGCCCCATGGTTTTTCCTCTTTACATGGTTTTCCACGTAAAAACATCTTGTATTATTTATGTGTGAGCTGGATATTTGTACAATGCTAAGACGCAAAATTTTAACTCTATCATCACGTATATTCTAGCCCATAACAATTTGGCGTCGTCTATAAAAAACTCAATCTCATTATCCTAAACACCACTTTGATGGCCAACAAGCATAGCAATCGCATCTTGGGAGCCTCCCGCTCCAACTCACACCAATCCAGGAATTCTTTCAAGAACCAAGGATGCCAGACATCCTCCTCTTTTTATCCTGGGGGAATAATGCTGCTAGAGAAGAAACTTCAAGGCATTCCTAGAAGATCGCATTAGAAAGATAGAGGAATCTCAGAATGAGATCCTTTAACTCTTGCGAGAGACTCGACAACCGACACTAGCACCGCAAGAAGAGATTCTTCTTCCGTAAGATCCATCAGGGCTCGAAGATGTTTAACCCTAACATCTTCATGGTGAGATTCCCCTTCCTCCACCAAGGATGCGTCCTCTGACACATCAAGACAATGAGCTTGCTGACACAGTAAGCTCTACACATCCTTCGCATACAGGTCGCCAACATAGCATTCATCCAAAAATCCCCAAAGACTCAGCCCGATAACATATTGCTGAACTCCCTCGTAACGCCCTACGCCATGAATTATAAAGATTTGTCCGAGAACAGTTTCCCATGAGGGTATAAGGAAATCTCATCGTCAGTGGCACTTATAGGAGTCATCACCCCTGACCGAAGCCATCCTTCAATACCCCTTTCTGGTAGGATTCAAACTATCAAGTATCGATTCTTATGACGGGACATCCAACCCGTCCGAGTATATCGATCATTATAGGACCATTATACATGTCCAATAAGCCTCAGATGCACTCTTATGCCAAGTTTTTCCTGCCACCCTCAAGGGATAAGCATGAATGTGGTTTTATTGACTTCCAGTTGGAACAATCCCCACCTTTATCAAATTAGCCAAGGTGTTCATCGAACAATTTGTCTCCAATCGAAGAATTATTAAGGATTCTTCTCATCTCTCTGGGATTCGCCAGAATGAAGGAGAATCACTTACGGAGTATTTCCAACGATTTTCAACTAAGGCTCGACAAATTATAGGGGTAGATCCTTAATTATTGAGAGGGGGTTTTCTTGGAGGCCTCCACCTTATGTCATTTTATTCATCACTTATATGAGATAAAGTTCATTCATATGCTGACCTGCTCCATCATGTAAAGGTGCAAATATTAACAGACGAAGCCATCAATGCTCATATGAAGCAATTTGAGGAACCTTTCAAAAAGCGCAAGAATGCTCCTATAATGGATAACACATTCTCGCATTGAAAGAAACAAGAAAAGAATAGCCCATCTCCTAGACCTCCATTGCCACGACAAAACTTTGAATAAGATGAAGAGTATACTTCTTAACGTATCTAGAACCAATGTAATGATGGCCATTCAAGATCAATAAAATATTAAGTGGCCTAATCCTTTGAAGCCGGATATAGGAAATCAGGATTGATACTATCATTTTCACCTTAGTTGTGGGCACACTACTGAAGCTTACAAACAACTCAAGGATGTGATTGAGAGGCTAATCCGACAAGGATATCTATAACAATTCATCCAAAACTCACCTGCTCAGGATGAAGATGGTCCTACTAGGGGGCAAAATCAACAACATGAAAGATAACCATTTAATAATATTCAAATGGTTGGTGAGATTAAATGACCATACACTTCGTGCATTTGTGTTATTAATAGTATTTGTCTTGTTTTATCGTCTCTTTTATGTTAAATAGTGTGCACTTTGATATCTCTAATATTTTCTTCTAAGTTAAAAATTATGTTGTCACCATGTGAATATCTTGTGTGTTGAGTAAAGTGTAATATAGTAATATGTTGTTCGATTTATTTTAATATTATCTCATTCTTTAAAAAAGATTAAAAAAAGATAATAAAATTATATATATATATATATATATAA